AAAGTTAAGTTCTGGTTAAAGGTTGTGTATGGCGTGTGTGTGTGTGTGTGTGTGTGTGTGTGTGTGTGTGTGTGTGTGAAAGAGAGAGAGAGAGAGAGGTGTCTCTGTGTGTGAGTCTGTTTCTTTGTGTATATGTGTGTGTTTCTGTGTGCATGTGTATGAGTCTATTTCTCTGTGTGTAAGAGTTTGTGTTTCTGTGTATGTGTCTTTGTGTAAGAATGTATGTTTCTCTGTGTGTGAGGTTTTTTTTTTGTGTGTGTGTGTGTGTGTACAGAGCAAGGTCTTCCTGCTTCTGAGCATCACTGACAATTTTAAAGAGTTGTGAACTGGCGTTTTAACCCATGCCTTAAGCCTCTGGGAAGTCGCAGTGAGAAATCATTATCTGTGTCCTATTAAAGTCCTTAAATGAGGCCTGTGCCTGTTGCATTGATTGAAATATCTTCTCTGTTCCTAACTCTGTTTATCCCCTTTTCTCCTGGGGTGTGCCTGAGCAAGGGATGCCCAAATGTGTGCAGTGTGGGGCCGCTCACCATTAGGGCTGAGCTCCACCAGCAGCTAATTGTACTGAGGGCTGCGGCTTGGAGTATTTGGAAGTTCATTTGCTTTTTGAAAACCCACTTACTTAATTAAGCAAGGGAGTACAATTTCCTAGCTTATTCCCAGTTCTCTGAATCAGTGACACATTGCCGGTATTGACTGAACTTACCCTGGGTTAACATGGGCTAAATTGAACACCATACCATCATAGCCAAAGATAAATAGCAGTATAAGTATTTTCAGGGAGGTTCATGAGCAGTGTGTAAATATTAGAGAAGTCATACTTACCGCTCCTTGTTTCCAGTTTGCATGGAGCTCTTTTAAAGTAGTTCCTACATACCATCTTCATGGAATTTTCCATGTGCTTTCCCTAGGCCTGTGTCCATGAGGAATCAGGAACATTGTTGTGCTGTGTTCATTCCTAATCATTCCTCTTGTAAAAGTCTAATGAGACTCCTTTGCTCTCCGTCACATTTCATTCTTTGCCCAGTCCCTTGAGTTAACCGGAGGTTCTTTACTTGGACACAGGGAGGTGAAGGGTGTGAGGTTACAGTGGCAAGTCTGTGCAGAGACCTTCTTGAAATGGTTTTAAAAGTAAAGCAAGTGTTACAGGTTTTTTGTGATATTGGAGACAGGGACATTTAAAAATAAATGAACCATTGAGACTGAGCTCACATTAATTTTGTTACATTGAAAAATATTCAGTATTGTGGGTGGCATTAAACAGAAAACACCTAATTTGATGGCAGTATCTCACCACATCAAATTATGATGGCAAAGCAGTAAGCAGTCATTGCCTTACCCATCAGGAAAGAGCTGGTAAGGAGAGCTGTGGGGTAAGGACTACAACCCCCAAGAGCCCTTGCTGCAGTCCCCTGACCTGACCCACCAGCTCTCCCCTAAGATGAGTGAAGCACTGTAGCTTGAAGGTGCCTTCCTGAGGAGATGCAGGGCAGCTTCTGCCTTTGCAGGCATCACAGATCTGATAAAGCTTACAGGAGAAGGGAGCTGGTGCCCTGCTGACTAATTGTCCTCTGGGGGAGTGTTAGTGACGGGACTTGTGTGTTAACGAGGCTGTGTGCTTAAACCACTGCTGAACTTCCTTTATTAGTGTGCCTTAAGATAGCTCTGCATATGGATACCGTAAGTATCTGCAGGGCGGGAGTATTTCTCTATCATTTGCATATAAAAGTTCCGAGAGGGTATAGCAGTAATATAAAAATTATATCTTTTTATTGCTCTTCTGTTGCACCAAGGTCTAGTCAGCACTGAAATTCTGATGACACGTGAGCACGAAGGAAGCCACCGCTTTTATATTTTCCTCCTGGTGCTTCCTTGATCAGCCTGTTGAATAACAGAAATGTTTTCGATGCCTTTGCAGCTTGAATGGAGCTCTCTTGACACCGCCCTCGTCGCTTTTTCCAGCAATAATGTGTGTTTTTAAGGGAGGATGGGGAAGAAATTTGTAGGTCATGCAGAGAATTACAAAAATTTATGAGTAACATTCCAGTTTTTATGAAGGAAGAGTTGCATAAAATTATTTAACTACAATTGAACGCTGACTTTACATTGTGTCTACTCGACTCTGTTTGATGTGCAGTAGGAAATGACTGTCTGTCTAGGTATTTACCAAATTATCTGGAAAGGTGTGGGACTAGTGTCCCCTTCCCACCAGTGCTGGGGAAGCACCTGGCTCAGGTGGAGGTGACAGGACACAGTGGCTGGCTTGTCACAGTGGCTGGCTTGTGGTGATCAGCGCAGGGCCAGGAGTTGCTCCCTATCCTTCCACTGTGTGGTCAGGCTCAGTCACAAGCTCCTCACCTGCTAAGGCATCCCAGTCCCAGGCAAGGTTTTGTTTTGTCTTTTGTTTGTTTAAGAGAAAACTAGTAAACTATGGGAAATGTTTTGGCTTTTGTTTTTGTTTGTTTTCTTATCAAAGCTGGTGAGACAAGCCTGCCATTCCTTTGGGCTGATTAGCCAATCACATCACATTGTGAAGTTGAGCGTGGTCCAGTGGCATGAGACACCATCACCACCCCTATCAAGGGGGTGAGAAAACCCAAAAGCCATTGCGGCTAGGTCCAGTGGGATGAGACACCATCACCACCCCTATCAAGGGGGGAAAAAACCCAAAAGCCATTGCGGCTAGTGTTTTTGCCAGACCTCTCGTTCTAGGGCATCCTTTTTGCAAACGAACAGTTTTGCACAGCTACCTTCGCATTGCTTGTGTGTTTCTTCGTTCAGTGCTGAGATTGTTCATTGCCAGCACAAACCTACGTCTCTCAGTCAGTACTTCCAAGACATTGTGGTACTGTTCCTGGTAAAGTCTGCATGACTATCACATGCAGTGAGGGCTTTGTGTGGTTCACCTGAGACCTACCTAGCACCTGGACCTAGGTCTTTGCATCAGGAGTCAGATGGTAAACATCCTCGGTCACATGGCCTCCCCCAGGTGCTCTGCTCCACATTGCCAAAGCATTCCGGGGCAGTGCTAAAGGCTGGGTGTGTCTTGTTTAAGGAAATATAGGAGGCCACCGTTTGAATTTCATATATTCCCAGTATGTTAACAAATACTGCTGTTGGGGCTTTTGTTGTTGTGTTTGTTTATTTATTTTGCATGTAACCATGTGGGTAGCTCATGGGCAGAGCGTAAGTACAACTCACCTTTAACACACAGGTCATTGATTGCAGTGGTTTGGCAGTTCTCGAGTTGGTTACAAGTGCCTGCGAGGCAAACCCTGAGAAACTCAGCCCAGGATACATGCTCCTCTCCCCCAGATCCACACCCACCCAGTTCACAGAGTGGGCACATCGATGAGTGAACAGGAAGACTGGGGTGGAGGAAAAGCGACCCCTTTCTCTTTGGACATGTCAGCCTAAATTTGTTCGTGAAATTGTGCTAATTGTGTTGATTGCCAGAGGGCGTTTTGTTTCTGAGTTGGGTATGGCATGTTGCTGGATTAATAACCTTTCTCTATTCCTACCTGACTTTGTAAAAGCCATATCTGATTTGTAAGACCTAAGTGGCACTATCGCTGAGCCAGTCAGTAATCAAGTTTAAATAGGAAGTTTTACCAGCTGAGTGTGTGCACAATCACGTATGCCATTCGCCTAGAGCAAAAATGTTTGTTTTAGCTCTGAATTCGGAAAAATCTGATTCAATTTACCTCATCTTATTTGAGAGATTTGATAATACCTTTTCCAAAGGTTAGATATTTTTCAATCATTGTGTTGTTTTTCATAAGCAGAATTATTTGGCTTTATAAGATTACTTTTTATTTTACTTAAACCAATATTATTCTTGTCATAAGACTTTTTCAATGTACACTCCATGTTTTTATGGGGCTGATCAGCTGTAGTTGATGTACATTTTTATCTTTGATAACATCCTCCTAACAGGGACGTTCCTGGCGCAGCTCAGTGTCCAGGGCCTAGGGTCTAGCCCTGGGTTTGTCAACTGTGTTTCTTCTGAATCAGTCCTGAGAGCTCTTGCTCCAGAAGGCCCTCTAGTAGGCGAGGTTACGCATGGATAGAGAACCGAGTGGAGCACATCCGTTCCAACAGCATGCACTGCTGTTCCAGACTGCAGCTTAGGCTTGCCCACTCCCTCTGCATCCGGCTTCCGGTCTGGATGGACCTCACTGCGCTGACCACCTGGGAGACCTGTCACACCAGCAGGCCTGCGTCTAATTTCTGGGCATCTCGTGACAGCGGCTCCCCTTCTGGGCCTGGGAACACAGCCGCTGTGTTCCTCATCTGTCCACGTCCTCTCTCTCATCTCGCCTGCCTTTTCTTTAGTTACTGCATTCTCACCTGAGGAACGCGCCCTTCAGAGTTTATTACTTCAAGTTTAGGTTCTGTGGATCCTTCACGTGGAGACTTGAGTAGCTTCCTCCAAGGGTGTTATAGTCGAATTAGATGGTATTAACAGTGCAGAATTGTTGCATAAGGGCATATTGTGTAACATTACAACTCATTTCTGACCATATAATGTCAACAGGATTGTATTTCCATAATATACTAAAATGCAAAAGCCACTATTTTATTATAACGCTGAAACATGGGGAATTTCTCACCACGAAGTTCAGTTCGAATTTTGACCATTATTAGATTACAGCACCCCAGCTTTGATTTCCATCTGAAGGTTCCCCCAAGCCTGATGTTGCTCAACTGACTGAAGTCCTCATTGCTGTGGTAATTTGCTCTACAGAGCGCTGCCTGGCATAGCATTTTGAATAGGCCCACAGCTGGGAACCTTCAAGGGTAGCTTGTGAGGAGTGTGAGATGCAGCTTGCCTCGTCTTTTAAGTGGGCTCGCTGGAGTCCAGTGAGAAGCAGCCACACTGAATCTCGGTGTCACCCACTCACACTGTCTCTGAAGGAGTGGCATTGCCACTTTCAAGTCAGGCTTTGTGTGCTTAGTGCTCCAGGTGTGTGAACACATGCTTTTTCTTTCTTCCTCAGGACCTGTCTGGCTCCATCGACGACCTCCCCACAGGAACGGAAGCAACTCTGAGCTCCGCAGTCAGTGCGTCCGGTTCTACAAGCAGCCAGGGGGATCAGAGCAACCCGGCTCAGTCTCCCTTCTCCCCACACGCATCACCCCATCTCTCCAGCATCCCCGGGGGGCCGTCACCTTCTCCTGTTGGCTCTCCTGTGGGAAGCAACCAATCTCGGTCTGGTCCGATTTCCCCTGCGAGTATTCCAGGTACTGTCATCCTTAATTATCTGCCATCCCCATCCTCCGTCTGTCCGTTGTTCCCCCTTCCGACCCCAGTGTGAAGACAAGTCTGGCCTCAGCAGCATCTCTCACACATTGCCTTTCTATTCACTCTGTCTCAGTCCTTTAAGACATGGCTATGTTTACATATTAGGGATCTAACTGCATTTCCCACCAGAGACCCAGTTTCTAAAGAGTCTCAACAAATGAATAATAAATGACCAGCTACTTTCTGATGAGATGTGGCATTTGGGGTGATATGACTGAAGACTGACCAACTACTTTCAAACGTTCAGTTTGCCCTAAGATCTTCACTAGCAGCTCTCTTGGAATGGTTCTACAGTGAAGATCCTCTATCGGGAAGTGTCCTGAGATGAGACTAGACGGCTGACTGGTGTCAACCGTGGATCTGGTTCTGTTTGATGGATATAATAAGACAGTTGTTTTCTAACGTGTTTTTAGAGTTGGTGTTTATCCGTGTCTGATCATAGTCACACACTGGTTGGTGCCAACTACAGTCCAAAGTGCCAAACTGATACATGCTCACACCTCCTTTCCGATAGAGTTCGTGTTCTTGCTAACTCTTGGGTTCACTTGACATCTGTATCGTGTGTGTGTGTGTGTGTGTGTGTGTGTGTGTGTGTGTCTGTGTGTGTGTGTGTGTGTGTGTGTGTGTGTGTGTTTGTGTGTGTTTTGTTGGAGTTCTTCATTGCTTAACCACATTCATCTCTCTGGCATTGTCCCAACTATTCAAACCCACCAGTAACCAGATTTCCACTCTCACAGGACAAGATGTAATTTTTTGACATGTAACTTTTGCTAACATGAGAGTTAGTTTCCAGAGGGCACCTTCCACTAACCTATTAAAATGAGAATTGAACAGCTAGTAAACTGCTTGATAATTTATTATATTCTCCCCCAAAACATAGGTGATAATTTCACCTCTTTTATATTTTACTCCTTTCATGTTTTATAAAATTTGTATTGTGTCATATTTATAAATAATAGTTATACATAGAATATTATGTATAAATGCACAATGCACTATAATTATGAAATGAATCTAATCTTAAGAACTGGTGTGTGTAGATGAGTTTCTAAATGGTCTTATTAAATAAAAAACACAGAGCCAAATACAGGGGTAAGAGCCTTAGCTCAGGGAAGTATAGAAAGCCACCAGCCAACCTCACCTCACCAACTCTGCCCCTTCCAAATGCGAGTTACTTCCTGTCTACCCACGCCTTTATTGCCTTGCTGTTCTGCCCTCTCATTGGCTCTTAGCCCAACTACCTCACTTCCTCTTCCTACACAGCTCTGTCACTTTCTGTCTATCTGCACAGACCTCCAGGTCTCTATGGTTGGTACTGGGATTAAAGGTGTGTGTCACCCCCAGTTGACTCTGTTCCTGAGTGTGGCCTTGAACACACAGAGATCCTGACTGCTAAGGGATGAAGGGTGTGTGCTGCCTGACTTCTTGTTTAAGAATGGCTGGCCTTTTCCCTCTGCTCTCCAAGCAAGCTTTATTTATTAACATACAAATAAAATATCACATTTCAGCACAAATAAAATGTCACCACATTTCCCATTTTTTTGTCTAATAAAAATAAATTTTTTTAAAAAGTTATAACTAATATAAGAAAAACTATATACAGTAAGTACAACAACTATATACAATATATACAAGCAATAAATACACCAACAATATCTAATCCATTTGTACTTACCAATTCAGAGAAAATATATCCTATTTTGGTGAATCCAAAATGTACCTAATTCACTTTCTATCCTATCTTTTATTACCAACAGAAAACTATGTTATGATGTCTTTCAAACTTACACACTTAACACCTCCTAGTGAATTTCTTTTCTGAATTTCTTAACAAGGAAAATTGTTACTACAACTATGTAATCTTCAACTCCCTCAGAGACCCAAGAAGGAAATAATATTACCTAGTAAAACAGGAAATGCAAACAACCAACTTCTAAAAAATGAATTATGACAGAAACAGCCAGCTGCCTGGACAGTTACCCGAGGTTTCTCTGCATGTTGGGGCGTCATCTTCGGCCTACAGGCTTAGTGTATCTGACAGACTCATTTGTGAAGTAGGATGTACTCAAGGCCCACAGCTCGACCTCACATTCGGTGTGAGTATTCCATGTGCCAGATAAACCTGAATTCCACCAGTGTCCTGTCATGACTCAGGATTTTAAATTCTGGATATTGCTGGTGTTTTTGGAATTCAGCTGCCCATTCTTCTTGGCTTGTGAGTGGCTTCATCTCCTTTATTAAATGCCAATCTACCATTGAGAGGTTAGACTCCGTCAACCTCATTACTCCTTCAAGAATAACTGTTTCAGCTACTGTTCCACTGCACACCAGAAGCCATGTTCCATTGCCTGTTCAGCAGCCTTCAAAGGAAGGGGCACTGTACCTTTTCTGGATTGCAAAGCCACTTCAGCGATGGTGCCATATTGTCCTGGCCTCAGAGGACGCCTGTTGCTAAAGCCGCAACCACACTTGTTTTGGCAAGGATTGGTAGTCCTTTGGTTTGTGTCCTGTATGTCCATTTTGGATAAGCATACTGTCAGCAGTCAATTTGAGGGTACTTTGTTGCTCAGTAGCTAACGTTCACCACAATGAAAGTGAATTCTTATACAGTTTCTTCAATGCCCATATCTTCTCTAAAGTAGATTGGTACTGCCAGGAACAGACATGTCTCATAGTCATAAAAAAAGAAAAAGATCTATGTTATTAAAACATTTTAAAAGCCATATTCTATAGATCTCTGAAGGGTTTGAAGATGACCTGTCTATCTAAAATATATCTCTGCTTGACCTTGAAAACATACCTAATATGACTTCAAGTTCGATTGTAATGTCTAACTACTAACTTTCATTTCTTTATATTCTAATAGTTGGTAATAATAACATTCAAGGATTAGCAAATTGCATTACATTGTTAAATGAACTCTATAGATATAATATCCTGAACAAAATTAGAAATACACATACAGCATTTTCTAACAATATCAATCTCAATATATATAATTTGTATATAATATATAAAAATCCAATCTAAGTATTTAAAACTAGTAGTTGTCTTTTAAAAGTAGATTCAATAATCTACCTTTTTATCTATATCATATCTATATCCTCTCTTTTTTCTTTTCAGTGTAGATTAAATAAGCTACTTCTTATCTATATCCTCTTTTTTCTTCTCTCTCTCCTCTCCTCTCCTCCTCCCCTCCCCTCCCCTCCCCTCCCCCCCCCTTTCCTCCCCTCTCCTTTCCTTTCCCCCCTCTCTCTCTCTTTTAGGGGGTGAAAGCCTTAGCTCAGGGAAATATAGAAAGCCACCAGCCAACCTTACCTCACCAACTCTGCAGCTTCCAATTGCGCATTACTTCCTGTCTACCCACGCTTTTATTGCCTTGCTGTTCTGCCCTCTCATTGGCTCTTAGCCCAGCTACCTCACTTCCTCTTCCTACACAGCTCTGTCACTTCTGTCTGTCTGTACAGACCTCCAGGTCTCTGGTGTGCTAGAGATAACGGCATCCACCTGCCTGCTTGTTCCTTATCCCAACACTGTTTCCTCTCCCTCTCTATATATTTTATCACTTTTTTAAAGAATTTTATTTATTACATTTTTAAGAGTTTATGTTACTATTTTTATTTACTACATTTTTTATGGAAACTTATTCTCCTTAGGATGACTGTAATATTTCATCAAACTGAGGGACTGTTAATAGCCACAGCACACAGCTCTGAAAACCAGGAAGTTCCTAGGCAAATCAGAAAACATATATGTGTTGTGTTCTATCTTGCCTACTTTAAAAATTAAATGTTATGTTTTTATGATCTGCCATAACTTATTAGGCAGTACAGTTGGCGTTTGAGTTCATTTTGGCTAAGGTATTTCACTGTGCTCTTCCAGGCTGGATCCAGTCACCAGCTGCTATACTGTGTTGGGTTACGCCATCCAGTGGCGTTTAGTCCTGAGGCGAGGTGGCATTCGAACTCACTTCTTGATGATCTCTGCCTCTTGAACAGACACACAGTATAGTGTTGTTTGTGTAAAGTGTGTGTGTCACACTTTACACAAACAACACTATACTGTTACTCTCCTTCCGGAATGCTTGCTTGGCCTCACAGTGGTCCCAGTGACCCTGCACGGACCTGCTCTTAACAGTGTTGGCGCTAGGACTGCTCCGCTCTCCAGAACCCCAAGGCAGGTTTGTGTTCAGATGGCTGTTGCTAACATGATGCTGGTAGTTGCCAGAGTGGTGGCATTGCCCGACTGCTGGAACATGGCACAGAAGCTCAGTGTTCCACAGGGAGCTTGTGGTTTCGTTGTGACGTGGATTTGCACCTGAATGACCTCACGCAGCTTTCTGCGGTATAGGACAGTGATGGTTTTAATTTGAAACCTGGTGTAAATGTTCACAATGGATTTACCGTTCCAAATAGAGATCCTGTGTTGTGTTTCTGAGATGAAGTCTTGCTCTGTACCTGAGACTGGCCTGGCTCTTGAACTGATTCTCCTGCCTCAGCCTCCCAAATGTGTGTGTCAGGTTGACAACCAAGATTAGCCATCATATGTGGATCCCTTGTCAGATTGACACACAAGTGCATCATTGTTAAACCATAACCCTTCCTTACCTGTCTCCAATATTTCATGTTAATATAAGAATACAAAATAAGGTATAAAAGTCCCACAGTCTAAATCTAACCATTGAAAAGTCCAGGTTCTGTTTTAGAACTCTGTCTCTTAGCTGAGCACTCCTGTGAAGTCAAAAACAGATTCTATATTTGTTGTTCTAAGAGAGCAGGGCCAGAGCACAGTGGGAGTGTCATCTTGCCGATGACCCAGGGCCTTACAAACACTAGGCAAGCACCCTGCCATTGACCTGTACACACAACCTTCAAACATAGTTTGGCTTTTTGTTTGTTTCGAGTATTATTTGTTTGTGTTTTGATTTCAGGGAATCAAG